CGGCAGGGGGTTCCCAGCGACCTTGTCTGCCCGGATCTTCCTCCCCATGAAAACAAATTACACCCCAGGAAATTACCGGGACACGGGCGGCCACATCGCGTCCCACCAGGTCTCCAGCCAGAACACAGGTTTGGTGTTTAAGAACGGAAAAGCGCACATACACACACACACACACACACACACACACACACACACACCACCCCACCCCCAAAGTTGGAAAAATAGGTGCCTGCCAACATTTCCCAATCAGCCTCGCTAGGAAAAGCGGGGCCTCTGTTCTTTGCCCAGCCTCCGCGGCAGCCGGTCGGGGGATGTACCTTTGTTGTCAAGGTAGAGTTGATTAACAAACAGCTGAGAAAGTCCAGAACAGTGCACAGTCCTGTGGAGTTGTAACTTTACAAACTCTAAAATTTTTTTTCGTTTACAGTTGATATGTAATAATATATTCGTTTCAGGTGTACAAGGTGAAGGGATTACAAAGTCCAAGTTGCTAGTTGTAACTTAACCTGCAGAAGTGGATGTGACAGCAGGATTTTAGAACCTGGTATGGAAGTCACTCCCAAAAGTGTTAGAGGTTTTATTGCCCTGGAAAAGGTAAAGTAGTTTTGTTTTAATCTAACCTACATGTTTGTTAACTACCTCACTATTCTATATCTATTTAGCAAACAGGGTAATATAGATATGTGCACACAAACACACACATTTTTGTCAAACGTTCAAGAAAACAGCGTTTTTGTTTTGTTTTTGTCTACCCTGTTGGTTCCCTCCTCAATTAGTTAAATATATCAATGGGGCACGGTCTTTCAAGATTTCACTTTTAATGTGAAAGTTTAAGCCAGCATAGCTTAAAACGGCAAGACGTTCTACTTGGCCTAAATATCAAGACATTCAGCCCTTTGGGCACTATGGTCAACCTGAGACATTTCCTTTCTTCTTGAGGGTTTGAATGGGCCCACATATATGGGAGAAGCACAGTAAGTAAAATTGGAGCTTAGATGTGACATGGAATATTGTGCAGGACTTAAGGGCCCAGTCTCTGGGAAGTAGACCTCTTGAGTTCAAACCCACATCTGTCTTGTGATCCTGTCTTCTTTTACCTTTCTCTGCCCCAGTTTCCTCATCTAGAAAATGGGATTATATGGTATTTACCTCAGAGTTTGCAAAAGAGTAATAGGGATACTGCATTTGAAGTACATAGCACAGTTCTTCCCCAGTAGTGAACCTTACAACAAACATAAGCTACTTTAGTTATTATTATTTATTGCATTCCCAGGATGCTGTTCAAATATAAAAAGATAATAGTTCTTTCCAGGGGCTTGCACTTTGACGACTAAGATAACTGAGTATTTTTCTTGGGGTTTTCCCAAATTATTTCAGTTCCCTTTATTGTTTCTATAAATAAACTTCAGGAAAGTATTAGCAGTTAATCTTTATAACGGGAAAATAGTTTCTAAAATAGTGGTTCTCAAAGTATGATCTGTGGACCCCTAGAGGTTGCGATGTTAAAACTACTTTCACAGGACCTACAGAAGGCCAAGACAGATGGAAACATGTTCAAAGTCACTAATCATCCGAGAGATGCAAATCAAAACGACAATGAGGTACCATCTCACATCTGTCAGAATAGCTGTCATCAACAAATCAACAAATGACAAGTGCTGGC